GGCGGCCTCGGCCTGCGGCCCCGGCCCGCGCCCGCCCTACCGGGTGGAGACGCTCCTAGCCTGAGCCGAGCCGCGCCGCGCTGCCGACTCCCGCAGGGGCCGGCGCCGTCGGGGAGGCTGGGGACGCCGGCTGCCGGGCTTTGCACTTTCTATCCAGAGGAAAAGGGACTTTTAGACAAAATCGCCATCAAACGTGCCTTAAAGCGAAAGCATTTTGACAGAAATGTTTTAACTTAGCCCAGAATATTTCCCTTCATCTTTTACAACTTTAAGAGGACCAAAGCAGTTCTTCTTAATTGTTTTAGTTTATTGGCCAAGCCTGTTCCTCCCTCCCTTCGTAAAAATCATCCTGTCTCCCCACCACCCAAGATCACCTTCATTTCTACTTTTTTCGCACCTTTCGTTGATTTATCCCCCCCTCCAGAAAAGTACATCAGGGAACCATTCCATATGATAAACGATATGACTACTGTTAGGGGTTTACTGGGACCTATCCTTGTATGTATGTGGCATTTGCAGGCAGGACTGAGTGTGAGAAAGGTGTCAGAGAATCTTCAGTCACTTCTCTGCTATCGACCAATGCTTCACTGTGCCAAAAGAGGGGGGGAAATGTGGGGTTTTGTAATTAAATTATTTATATATTTTTGAAACCTGAATTGAAAATGTTGCAGGCAACGGGCTACAGCTTTATTAGTGGTTCTCTAACTGTGGTCTCTTCGGGCCAAGCAATTTCTTTAAAGGAAAAGTTAACATTGTGTGTGTGGCGGTGCCAGGACCACTGCCACTGGAAAGCAAGTGTGATTTTTATTTTTAATATTATTTTATTTGTGTCTGTGTACATATTCATGTATGGATTTTATGGATGAATCCCAAGCATAGTGCTTATTTTTTAATAAAACTTACAACTGACCTAAACACTTTGTGATGATAGATTGAAGGTGGAGAGCTTTTTACCTCCACCCTCCCCCCCAAAATGGTTTCAGTCTCTAGAAACTTCCTTTGGGTGTCAATCTATTTTCTTGAATAATTCAATAAAAGTAGAATAGGCCTGCAGGTTCCCTTACCAGACATACTGCTGTACAATATTGCCGTCCAGAATAAGACTTCTGTTAGTGGAATTTCTTAAGTTTGAAACCAGTCACTTCTGTAATTTTTCACCTACGAGCTACCAGGAAAAAAAGAAAGAAGGTACATGTTCCTCTGTCCCCAAGTTCCATTAGCAAGCAAGCTGAGCTCTTGACAAGCCTATAGTTAAACAGACATTCTCAGGTAAGTTAGTTCTGATTTGGGGCTCAAAAAGCTAGAAACCTTATCTTTTGGTTCAACTATCAACCTCAAAACACCAAAGATGTCTTCAGGGCAGTTTTAAGAGCAACTTAAATGCCCTTTGTCAAAGTAAAAACCAGCCACACACACACACACACACTGCCACTTCTATAGGAATGCAGAAGTTCAATTGCTGTGTGAACCAATTGGTAGGGTTTTTTCTCCCTGTGCTTCCCTCCTTTGTGAAGATATCCTTTGTAGAAGTAGAGGTGCCCTGTTTCACTTGTGGTCTGAAGAGAAAATGCTTCTTGCAGAGGAGGAAGAGACAGTTTCCCACACTAAAAATGGAAGGAAAGGTTTTCATCAGTGGAAGTACTAGGAAATAGTATGAACACCTGTTTCTCAGTAAGTTCAAAACAGCAGGGTTCTAACAAAGTATGGATTGCAAAATTCTAGAGAGTAACACAATCTGTGAGAAATTCAGAGACTGGACTCTTAAGCATTATCTTCTCTGCCATCCTTGAGTAAATCCCCTGGATCCAAGACCAAAGGACGGTTTTGAGTTCTACACATGAGGTTGGGGAGGAAGTGGAGCTTCTTTCCTGGTAAGGCATTTTGGCTCCCATTTTGGAATGGGAGAAAGCAGATCACTCTAAGTCTAGTTAAACAAGTAATAAGTCTTGGCTGATTTGGGTTATATTATGTATCTACTTAGTAGTCATAAAGAGTGACAATAATAGGATCGAATTATAACAAAAGGTACACATTTGCACCCACAAGACCAGTAATTAGGCCTCAAAATAAAGCTGAAGCACACTGGCAACTAGGGGAAGGAGACATCAAGTTGGCTGGGCTGAAATGCTCAGACTGGACACTGCTTTCTTCTTGAAAATATACTCTAGGACTGAAGGGTGCAGGAGTCAGTATGTCTGCTTCCGACAGCAGACTTCTCTCCGACTATGTCCCTGACTTCCCCAGGCAGAGTGCCGCCTACTTTTACAACTTTTTTGAAAAGCCACTATTTCATTTCTACATTAGTGAGTGAAGACAGTGCTGCTTCTAATTTGTTCATATTACAGAACACACAAACAGCAATGTAAAAGAGGAAAAGAGAAAGTGTTTCAAAAATCAGCCGTTTTCCTCTCTTCTCAAAAAAAAAAAAAAAAATCCTTCATTCCTACACCCTGGACTCCGGCAGACAGCGGTCCCTTCCCTGGCTTCCGTCCCCTTCTTTCTCCCGAGGGAGACTGCAAGGTTTCCTAGAATAGGAAATCCGTGAGCTTTGAGCCCCTGGTCTGCATTCCACCACCAGCTCCTATGCTGTGTCCCAAAGGGCAATCACTGGCGGCTGTCGCTCCCTCCCTCCCGCCTCCGCCTCTCCTTCACGCCCCCGGCCTCGGGAGTTTTCGGTTTCTCGGGTTCTCTCCTCTAACAGGGAAATTGCACAGACAATTTATCTCAAGAACTGCACGTCGCGGAGAGACACGGGCCTTCCGAGATGAGACTTGATCCCGCTCGCGCGGTCTGCCCAGAAAACTGGATTCTCGCAGGCGCTGGAGGAACGCTTCGCTTATCCTCTGGGTCCGCAGGCCAGGACGTGCCCTCTCGGCCAAGGGCACGGCGTGTCCCTCCTCCAGACCCCAGCTCCTGCCCAACCCCTCCTCCAACCATCCTTTCCGGCAGCCCGCTCAGCCCCTGCCCGCCCCCTCCCCCAGCCCTCAGTGTGCCCCTCCCAGGCCAGAGGGGCCTCATTCCAGCTGTGCAAATACCGGGCTTCGGGGTACCCCAGCTGGCCCTGGGCCTCCTGGAGGACATGAGATTTTTCGGGACTTCTAGATGAGGGTGAGAGGTCTGTTTGGTTTGGGAAACGCCCTTTGACACTTGTCAGCCCTGCCTGGAGCAGGAGCTGTGGGCTGAAGGCTCAGTGGGTCAGTTTCCAAAGAACCCCACTTCTGGGCCCCCACGTCCACCGCCAGCTCTCCCTGTGGCATTTTGAGGCCATGGTTCCCCTTAATCACCTAGGAGAACCTTCTCTCCCTGCCATCGACAAATGGGTGGAGACCATGCACAGCCAAGATGCTCATCCCAGCCTGGCTCTGGTCTTCCCTGCTATGGACCAAGTTGGCTACCTTTGGGGTCTGAAAACATTCTGGAAGCAGCACATACATTGTGATTAGTCTCCTCCCCTTAAGCTGCCTTTCTACAGCAGAGCACTGTTCTAAACAACGTGGAAGCTGGAGCTGAGTGGCGAATGTGCCTGGTTATCAGCTGGGGAGGCCCCTTTCCAGAGCTTCAGCCATCACAGGATGGTTGGCTCCAAGCCCCCTACCTTATGGATAAGCCTAACTAAGGCCCCTTTAGAATTGCCTCTCAGATTCTTTAGCCCAGTGAATTCTGCCCCTCCAAAAATTCAGAAAGTCTGAGCCAGCCAATCAAAGTAGGTTCTTCTGGGAGCACACATCATCATCAAATACTTTCATTTTCCCACTCCAGGCCCCAGGGTTGACCTTGCTGATTTGGAAGTGGTTCATCTCCAGGGAGAATTACCTACATCCACTCTGGTTCCACTGTTGCACAATTTTACAAACTCAACATTTTTCTGCCACAAGGATACACACAAAATACAAAGGTAAATTCATCAAGCCTCTTGGATAGACTCACATACTTTCAAGCTAAGAAAACTGTACTTATTTATTTATGAGATAGGTCTCACTCTGTCACCTGGCTAGAACACAGTGTCATTATCACAGCTCTCTG